GCACAGACACGGACACTGTGCGGGGCAGGTTTCAGAACCGCCTTGGCTTTTTGATCTACCTGAGTGCTAAATCAATGCTCAGTATTAACTGATACTGATGACAGCTTGAGCTGAGTAAGCAAAAGCTTGAGCTCAGCTGGAACATACTGAAGGAGCCAGGTCTGTGTGCCCATGCAGCCAGGAAGGCAGTATTTGGTGAGCCCTGGAGCCCCCGCTCCAGCACACGACTCACCACAGCACTAACGCAGCCCTGCACACACAGTGCTCCTTGCTAGAAAACACTGCCTGGAAAAGGCTGGCAGTTGTCTTCTGCCCTTCAACAGATGCTGAAGCACACGAGCAAGGTCTTGCTGGCTTGCTGCAGTGACAGGTCTCTGACCCCAGCACGGCAGGTCCCAGCCTGCAAGCTCCTGACCAGCACCAGCATGGCCATGGTGAGAATCAGCCTCCTGGTTTATTAAACACCAATGTGCATGCAGCAGACGCCGTGCATGTGTCTGTGTAGGAGGAGACCCTGTTAGAGCCACGTCAAAACGTACACAAGGCTCTGGGATGTGTCATCCATCCCCGCCATACCCAGGGAAACCAGCTCCACATTTCCTGCTCTTTAGTATTCCCATCACCATTCCCGTGATGTGCTGGCTTGGGGCAGAGCTACCACGCATGGGCGAAGAAAATCACTTGCAATGTTTTCAAAGCCTTCTTTATGTCACCCCAGGAAAGGTGAGCAAGAGGAAAGGCCACCTTGCTTTGGCATCCTTTGGGGTCCTGGCACCATGCTTCCCTGTCCATACTGCTCCCAACAAGGGCAGCCACCCCAAACACCGCTCTGAAGGTCACCTTTTAGCCCAGGTGAGGAGCAGGCACCAGCACCATCCTTGCCCACCCCTGCAGCCACGGCTCTCACCCACCGCAGAGCTTGTCCTGGAACTGCTTCCCAAACTGCTGGATGAGCTCGAAGGACTCCACCAGGAAGACGTGCTCCTCCAGCGGCGGCGAGGCCATGGCGCGCAGCGAGTTCATGTCTGCCCGCTGGATGCCCACGGCGTAGATCTCAATGCCAGCGTTCCGGGCCTGGGTGGCCACCTCGGTGACACGGTCCTGGGGCCGTCCATCCGTCACGATGATGGCGATGCGGGGGATCTTCTTGTGCAGAGGGCGCGCGCCCTCCTGCGTGGTGAAGGCCACGTTCATGGCGTACTGGATGGCCAGCCCCGTCATGGTGCCCTGGGCCAGCGGGACGATGCTGTTGATGGCCTTCTCCATGTCCGCCCGTGTGAAGAAGGTCTTGAGGGAGAAGATGTTCTGCACCTGGCTGGAGTACTGGATCACCCCCACCCGTGTGGCGTTGGGGCCCACGTCCAGGCTGCTGATGATGTCCATCATGAACCGCCGCATGGTCTCGAACTCGAAGGGGCGCACGCTGCGGGAGCTGTCGATCACAAACACGATGTCCAGAGGACCTGTCCTGCACTTCAGGGCTGGAAGGGGGAAAAGAGACAGTTCAGCCTCACAGCTGCCTGTGCAGAGCAGGGCTGGCAGCAGAGACATCCCTTTGGGGTGGCTTGAGGGGTGCTCAGTGGAAGGTGGAGAGGGCACATCTGTGCAGCCCCTACTGCCAAATAACCTCGTGGAGGGTGCTGGCAGAGCAGAAGCAGGGATGACAGGCAGGAAGATAGGCCCTGGCTGTGGGGAAATGGCAGCATCCCCTCCTCCCCAGTACCACCCCTTTAGCCAGACCCAGCTCCTGCTCCCTGGATTTCCACAGCCAGCAGCCCCAGAAGCTGCAGAAACACCTCTTTGTCAGCATCTGCCCTGGCAAGGAATAAGCACAGGTTTAGGCAGCAGCATCTTCATCCCTGCAGCAAATCAGAGCATTAAACTGTAAACCAGACCAGTGCCTTGTGCTGTTCTCTGCAACCTGCAGTCCCTGCCTCAGACCTCTGCACCGCATGGGCTCCTACTCGCTCAAGTGGCAAGCAGGAACACACTGCTTTGGGCAATTCCGTTCCTCCCCACAGCTCCAGCCGTCCCTGGCTTTTACCGCATTTTGCCGGTTTCTGCCTAAAACCAGGGCTTGCTTTGGTGATTTGTCTTTTATTTTTTAATGGCAGCAAAGGAGACACTGAGAAGCACAGCTAAGGGCATGCACATGGCAGGGATCGAGCCAAAGAGCCTCTCTTGGACATACGGGTGCTACTTCCAGTGCAAACTTGGAGAGTATTTAGCAAGTGAAATGCCAATGAACATATTTTGCTTGGCTTGTCTGTACCTAAGCCTGGGAGAATTTGGCCCTAATGGTAAGCAAACACTTGAGTCCCCTTGGGCTGCCCAGGCCCAGGCTGTCATCTCAACTGCTCCGAAGGCCTCCAAGACATACCTGCTCCTTTCTCCATTTGGTGCCTTCACTGTTTCTAAACTGGAATTGACTTGGAATGGACTGGAATTGACTGGGTCTGGTGCTGGGGCCAGGCTCAAGCTCCTACTCCCCTGGACACCGCTGGGGATTTCGGGTCCCATGCCTGGGCAGATCCTCCATCCTGCTGGGGATGCCTCCAAAGAAGAGGCATCGAGTCCCCCTCACCTCAAGCAGCGCTTCTCTCTCCTCCAGGCACTCCCCACCAGCCAGGGCTCACCTGCAGGTTTTGGTCTGGCTTCCAGCATCGTCAGGAGGAGCAGGAGGAGCGGGATGATGGGCAGAAGCTTCATCATGGCTCTGTGCAACCGCACGCTGCAGGGACTCACTGGGGGAGAAGGCAATGTGCAATGAGTGCTGAGGGTGGGCCAAGCCACAGGGTGACATTCACCTGCGGTGGCTGTCCCCAGGCAGTGCCAAAACCCCTCTGCAACAGCAGTTTTGACAGATCCATCCCCAGACGCCTCCGGACCCACGTGGGACTTTTCCCATTTAAGGACTGGCAGCCTCAGCACAGCTAAATTTCATTACAGCAGCGGCAGTCTGCCACAGGGTCTGATTTTCTGCTCTGGGTGGAGCTGGCCAAGCCTTATTTTCACTCTCAAACCAGGCGGATGGGATGTTCAGCCAAATACTTTTTCACTGGCGGAGCTGCTGCTCTCCGCAGCCAGCCGGAGAGTGGGAAAGCTGCACCCGGGGATGCAGAGCACCCTCTGAAGCTCCCTTTGCCCAGTAAGAGAAGCCCCCAGAGGAAACACCAGCACAGACAAAACCTCCTCAGCAGCGGCTCAGAGTCACTGGCAGGGATCATTTTTCCAAGCAGCTCCATAAATCTGTTCTCTGCCTTCTTCCAAACCACCTCTGGAGAGCAGAAGCCTCTGCAGGGACAGGGTGCAACGGTGCCTGTGCACATGGGCTTGCACCCATTCCCCCCACCCAGGCAGGGTGCTGGGTGAAGCATTGCCACTCTCCTTCACATCACCTCAGGGGACCCCACCGCTGTCACCAATGTTTTTTGCAGCTCTCCGCATCCTGCTGGCTGTTCTGAGGGATGCTCTGCAGCCCAACACTGTTTGAGGTGGGATGGTTGAAGGAAAAGATGTTTAAATCAGTTACCCAAACCCCAGTTTGTCACTTGTCTCCCTCCCTGCCCACTTCTGTGGTGCCTTTCCCTGCCTTTGCCCAGCTCCTGCAGGGACACGGGTTTAGTTGGTTTATTTTTATCACTTTCATCCAGCCCTGGTTGGAAACCCAAAGAGCTAGGGGGTGGAAATGCCACAGGTACTGCAGCTTCCCCTGGGATACAGCAGCACCATGACTGGGCACAGGTACTAGAAGGGTGCTTTTAGAAAAGAAAAAGCACACGGAAATTCATTCTATCGGTGGTTATCAGCTGTGTTTACTTAGCCCCAGGAGGTCCCAGTTGTAATTCATCACCAGGGTTGCCATTTAATTGCTCACTGGTTACGTGCAGCCCTGAACCTCATGTATTTGATAGCAAGGACATGGATAATAGGTTTCACAGCTGCATCTTAAAATTGTCTCCAGACTCAGCGTTCACACCTGAAAAATGACACTGAGGAATTAGAAGGACAGAAAAGGGCTACAGGAGGAAAGTGGGATCCGGAAGCCTCAAAGGGAGAGACTCAGCCTTTTCCCAGGGAGTGTGAGCACCCAGCTCGGGACGTGGTGGCTCCTGCAGGACTACCAATGGAGAGACCACTGGGATCACTCTGGTAGGATCACTCCAGTGGGATCACTCCGGGTTCTGGAGATGAGGGGAGGCTGCAGCCCAACATACATTTTCTAGGAAGCCACAGGGCTTTGTGGGCAGGAGTGCCTGGGTGTCTGTGCACCCTCACAAGAGCACCATGTGCAAGCAGAGGAGCAAACAGCCCCTCCTATCCCAGCTTTGTTTCCCCATTTAGCAGATTCTTTTCCTAGAAATTTTGGGGGGACAGAAAGCAATCCCTAACCACTAAATATTCTGGGGAAAGTTATACCACCTATAACACTTCTACAGCACTCTGCTCTCCAAGCCTCCCTGCAGTGGCAGGCTGGTATTCAGCCTGCATCACATAGCATCCAGATAGCTTCAAAGCCAGCCAGAGACAGGAATGAGGTTTTGGGCCAGAAACCAAGGAGAAAACCAGTTCAAGACTGATCTATTTTTAACAGCATCTCAGCTTTGGATGAAGTCTTGGCACTCCTCATGGCTGGAGGGGCTGATGCTGCCGGGACAGGGCAGGGCAGCTCAGCCATGCATTCAGCACCAGTCCTGGCAGCAGAGAGCCAGGCTGGAACAGCACCCTGGTCCCCAGTTGAATATAACGCCCAGCCCTGCCCCAGCAGCAAAGCTGATGGGGATGGGGAAGCAAAAGCAATGGGACAGATGCCCCCAAGCATCTCTCCCACCATTCTGCACCAGACATTGTCCCTGCTACACACTGTCCTCACTCCCCCTGCACTTGCATCCCCATGGAGGGGCTCCCCCACTTCCCCCCTGAACCTCCTGCTACCACACAGGAGTGGGAGGGAGATGGGTGGGAAGTGACCGGCTGGCAGGCAGGTGCTGCAAGCAAGGCAAACACAGCACCGGCTGCAGCACCAGAGACCTTGAGATAACACTGAGCTATAAAGGAGAAAAGGTCCAGGCGGGGCGAGTGCTGCCCTAGCAGGGCTGGCTCAGCCGAACCCAAGCTGAGAGGGACACGTGGATCATCCCCTGACCTTTCTGAGCAACGCGAGGGGAAAACCAGCCATTGCTTGTCCCTGCTGAAGGAGATGCTCAGTTCGTGCTGCAGAGAGGGTGACTGAGGGAAGAGCCACACGAAGGGTCAGCAATGACGCCAGCCTGCTCTTGACTCTCCTCCTGATCTCGGATAAGGAGGACATGGAGACGAACCCCCAGATGCAAACAGGTAAGCTAGCAATGCCTTCCCCAGGACCCTTCCCAGGGCACCTCCACCAGCAGTGCTGTCCCCAGGGTGCCTGCATCCCTCCCGGTTCCATCACTTGTCCGTCTGCTCTCCCTGCCAAGTGCTGAGTCTCAGGAAAAACAGCCGCTTCGGGTTTCAGCGTGGCCTCCTTGGCAGCTCCCTCCTGGCTACAGGTTAACAGAAACGCTCCCAATATTCCCCTTCTGGTTCATCCACACAGGTTGGACCAGGTGCATCCTCCCCTAGGCAAGCCCAAAGGACAGGGCATGGCAGGGAGCATCTCCCTACCCTCCTTACAGGGTTACAGGGGTGGGAGTTTTATAGACTGAATACTAGAGGGGATGAAGCAGATTGTGAAAGAAGGAGTGAAAGGCTCAGGAGGTGGCAGTGCATTCAGAGCCCAGGGAAAGCCCCAGCCATAGTGTCATTAGGAGTAAAGCAGGTTGTGGGCCACGGCTATGAGTCATGAGCCAAGTCTCAGGTAAAAGATTTCATGTATTTGGGCACATCAGCCTTTAGCTGTGACTTCCGTTTATGGCAAAGCCCACACAACCCCAGCCACAGGTCCTGCCTGGGCTTGGCAGGCCTGTGGCACATTGTGGGAGCAGCAGCAGCAGCTCTGTCCTGGCTCCAGATCCTGTGAGAAGCAGGACAAGGGATCACCATGCATTGCAAGGAGTGGGGAACACTCAGGAGCCTCTGACCAAGCACACTGTTACCCAACACGCCAAAGCCGGAGGGCTGTCCATGCAGCATGCCTGTGCATGGGAGGAGGCATGCACAGCGAGCCTGGGCATGCATGGCAGGGGTGCATGGCACTGATGCCACCTCTGCTACCAGCTAATAACACGTATTCCTGTGCTGGAAACCTTGGCTGATGGCAGAGCAGCCCTAGACGTGATGTTCCTGAGGCTCACCCACCTCACTTGTCTCTCCGTGTACCCTGTTTTGCTCTGCAGGGCTTTTCTATGTGCAGACCCAACCAGACATTTTTGGCAGGGTATAATTCACTCGCGCATCAGTGTTAACTGATAAAAGTGCTCAAAAAAAGCCACAGATTGGCTCAGGAGCCTGGACACAGACTTCTTGTGTTTAGGACACCAGAGTCCTGCCAGGACAACAGCAGAAAGACAGCAAGAGCTGGCCTCAGGCTGGAGAATAGGGAGACAAATTTTAATGTCCTCAGCAGGACAAATCATGGTTCAAGTCCATGCCCAAGAGAGAGGCTGCCCCAAAAGTGCATGGAGAACCAAGGGAGGAAGACAGAAACATGTCTTGCCCCAGGCACAGGGGACAATGAAGCAACCTACTTGGAGAGATGCAAACAACTTACATCAACCTGGAGGCATCTCCTGATACCTGATTTTGCTGTGGAAACCCCTAAGGGCTGCTGCCACATTGTCCATATATTTGCATGACCCTCAAGCTGTGTGAACAAATGAGGCCCGAAACAGCCCCGGAGCTGGATCCACCCTCTCCTGGAGGGTTACCCAAAGGTTGGTTTCTTTCAGCACAATCCACAGTCTCAAGGTGCTCCCTGCCTGCAGGTTTATGGCTCTCAGCAGTGCCTCTGCTGCTTATGAGATGGATTCAGTGCCATTTTACATGCAGCATTGACCTTGCACTCCATCACAGCTCCACCATCTCAGTGCTCATCCTCCACAGCAGCTGGGTGATGAGCTGCAAATCCCATGAGAGCAAAACAGCAGTGCAGTTTTCAGAGCAAGGAAGAGGTAGGGAGCACAAGCACTCCAAAACCAGGGAAATGGCCTCAATTTCCAGCCCAAAAGGTTTTTCTCCCCCAGTTTAAGGACTGACGTGTCCTTGGTTCTCCCCAAACACATGTGTGGGAGAACAAGAGCAGACTCTTTCCAGGACATTGCAGTACTCTCTGGTTACAACGCTACAGCAGCTTTGCTGGGCCAAGTGCCACCTGGAAGGACACGTTTGAAAACCAAGGTTGTATTTCTCAAACAGCTCATCGTGGCTCCAAACCCAACAGGAGTGAATCGGCAGGAGTGCTGTAACGGGAAAACCTTGCTGGATGCACAAGGGACTACTCTTGCTCTCTCTTTGCCCCCCTCCAAAAGCCAATTCCCTGTTTTATGGGCCCCACTCCTGCACTCACTAGGATTAGCATGTTCACAGGGAGGGCAGGAGGAAGACAGGTTTCTTGTCCAGGTCTATTTGTAGGCTAAGTGACAGACATCTTTGTCTCACAGCTCATGGACCTAACATCATACAAGTTCTGAGTGGCTTACACTATGAGATGCCACCTGAAGTCCCCCTGGGAAAGAAATGCTGGGTGTGCCAACGGACAGAGCTCTAGGTATTGTTCACAACAGCACATGGGGTCCTTCTCTGCCATCAGTCTGTCTGTAAAAGACCTCTCAATGCTCTGCATGTCAGCTAGGAGGAAAGCCTCTTGCCCAGCCACCCTCTGCACTGAAACACACTGTACCTGGGCTGCTGTGGCCGCAGCTGGCAAGAATAAATGCCATATTCATTTGCAAATTAAACATGGCCTTTTGAAGCACATGTATAGTCAGACAGTTCCCCTTGTTCAACTCATGTCAAGAGATGCCTTCTGTTTCAGAACTGCCAGTGGCATTTCCCTATTCCTCTCTGTCCTACTGCAAACCTTTGGCTGCGCATGTCCTGAGCTGCATGATGTGGAAACCCACCCTGCTCCTAACTGGTATCTTAAGTAAAACTGGAGGGATATTGGACACTGAGATGTTGATGAAGAGTGGTCAGCAGGGGAAAGACCCACCTTTACTGACTCTCTTCAATAAGCAAATGTTTTTCCACAAACAGGCCCCTGGAGGACAGCTGAACAGGGCCAAGAGACTTCAAACTTTGGAGGGAATGAGGTCTGGGCCATCCAACAGCTGAGGCAGCATTCCATTGCCCAAGTTCTTGTTCTGGGAGGAAGGTGTTAGAGAGCTTTTTTTTCCCCCTAGAAATATGCATATTCAACCACAAAGGAAAGAGAAACAGCCCAGAGCAGCTCCCGGGCTGGTGCAGTTTGTCAGCAAAGCTGGTACCTCTAAGCAGTAAGATTGATACTTAACCAGCAGGATGTCCATTTCCCAAATCCACTGGGACCACTATCCCCAGCTGACCTCCGGCAAGCTTACATGGCACAGACAACCACAGAATGCCTGCTATTTCAGCCTCACAACCATAGATTCATTGCCTGACCTCCTTCTCTAAATCTTTATATCGTATTTCTCTGGAGACGTGACTCAATGTGTTGGCATAAGAAAACACGCCAGGAGAATATTCTTGTGCCTCTCCCTTTTATCCTACCCATCCTGCTATGTGTTCAATTGAAATAGCAGAAAGTGAGAAGCATCTGGTGGCTGCAGAAAAGCACGCGGAGACTTTTCTGCCCTCCTCAAGACAGAAAAGCAAGCTGGTTGAATTCTTTGGCTAGATACTTTTCACAGGAAGAACCACAGAAGCAGCATGGGAAACTGCTCCCACCTAACTTCACTGCTGCCACATCCCCCTGACAGCGGGACGGCCAGAGAACCGCTGTCACAGGGCTGGAACGCTGTCACCCCATGGGGATGCATCACAGAACTTCCACCAGCATCGCAATGGGCTGCGGTCTCACTTCCACCCGTGCTGAAGAGCTGGTGCATCCGTGTGTCAGCATGCTCCAACACTGCATGGAACCCTCTTGCAAGACTTCCAAGGGGACTTAAAGCAGCATTTGTGGCCATGGCTGAGGACCTCTGCTGTTAACAGACATACTCCTACCGATTCCTGCTATAGACCATGGACTCCTACGGGTCCGCAGACTACAACTCAAAGGCTCCTGAACTTGTATGCTGGCAATCAACCAGTGAAGCAGCATGACACAGCCCAGACACAGGAAGGCTGAAGTCTGGAGAGGAGCTGAGTTACTGACACCTCTCTGCAAGAGGCCACAGCTGATCCTAATAGATTTCCTTGATAGGCATCAGAGGGACCACATTAACAATGGATTTATGTGTGTAACTAAGGGCTTGCAAGGTAAGAGATCCCATGTTTGCAGACAAAGATGCAGGCAAAGGCAGAAAGCTCCTAGGGAAGATGGATCCAGCCTCCAGTAATGAACACCAGGAAGGACAAGCTGCCTGAGAACCAGAAAAGCTTCCAGACACGGGATCAAGCACTGCAGCCTGGGGGCATCCCACATGGAAACACTGCCATAGCTGTGCATCAGCCTCTGGAGTCTCCTGAGCACATGCCAACACCCTCCACTGCTTTAACAGGGCTGGTTTCCAGAACAGGAAAGGGAACTAAAGGCTCCTAAGTGCTAACAAGTTTACTCGATATCTAAATGTAGATCTGTGCTGCATGTATCTGAGGGGTGACCCCTGTTAGTCTGCAGGAGGTAACAGAAAGCATAAAGTCCAGGTCTCTGCACCAGGCTGCTCAATGGAGCCCTTATGGCAGCTGTGTGAGCTCCCTCCCAACGGAGCCCAAGTGATCAATTTGCTTCTGTTTGGGCCCAAAGTGGAGCAAACACGGTTACTGAGAGGTAATGACAAGTGGCAGGAGCCACTCCGGCTCCTGGCATGGCTGGAGGAGACGCGTGGGACATCTGGCACAGGAGGGACTGACTGGTCTGGGGCAGTAGCTGGGTTTTATGAGTTTCTTTATAAGCACCACCCAATGTTTTGGGGGGTTTCTCCCCTGTGTTTTTTCTAGGTCCCGTTTCTTCACTCACAGCTTGTCTGCAATTCCCGTGTGCGTGTAGATACAAACACTACTTGTAACACTACTTATTTCCCCCTCCGCGTTTCAGCGCTATTCATGGAGCATTTGTAAATGGCATTTTATGAGCACGGCAGGCACAGGGCTCCACAGTGAACAAAGGGGCTCCTATTGGAAACTTTAAAGATGTTTAAACAAAGGCTTCTCTTGAAAACCTTTAACCCCTAATGCCAACCTCAAGGGAAATGCTATGTTATGAGCAACGGGAGCACAAACATCTTCTGTGACCGCAGAGAGCCTACAGCAAGCTGCCTTGTTGGCTACGTCTTCTGTTTACTACTGTGGCCAGCAAGGGTAGCTCCCGGGCTCAGCTTGTACCAATCAAGTAGGATTTCTTTAATTCTTCAAGAAATAATGAAATTACAACTTCCCCCAAAAAATCAACAACAGCTTTTTTCCCAGTGGGATGCAGCAATTCCCTGCCTGCTTCAATGGAAAGTGCTGCTTTACTACAAACACCAAGAACTCTTGCACGCTTTCCGGATGGGAATCTGTATTTCAGATGAGGCCCAATTTATCCATATCCTGGTGGCAAATGCCAGGGCTGAGATCTGAGAGCAGATTTCCCCCCGCACACACTTTTTGCTGATATCAAATGCCGATCTAATGAATCCTTGCAGAGATCACAAGAATCTGCTTGTGAAAAGCAGTTTATACTTGTTACTGAGGACCTGCACGCTCACTGCCTGTGATTAATTGCTCCTGTGCTTGGAGCCATTTACTATCAAATCTTTACTATCAAGAGATGCTACTGAGGGTCCCACAGGGACCTCATCATGTATGTGCTCAGCTCCACTTATCTCGGACGGCTGTGTGTGACCACAAATACGATGAGTGCAGAATAATCTGATTTTTCAAACAAGTTTTCCCATGTAATTGCTCGGAACAAAAGTGCCCAAAGCTAATTTTTCCCTGGGAGATGGTTGGAATTACAAGGCAAAGGTGGGTGATTGCTTGTGCAAACATATTTATGAGTATGCACAGCCCCAATTTTCCAGTCGTGCAGAAACAGCGCACAGCAAACCGAGGGCACTCTTTCAAGCTTATCTTCCTGCAGGATCTCATCTCCTATGGCTCAGTTCGCCTTGCCCAGGTGTACCAGACCTTATTATTCTCTGCTAAAAGAGATCCTCGGTTGTATAAGCAGGAACCTGCCCGCCAGATAGGCAAAAGGTGAGCAGAGCAGAGAGACAGCAGAGAAGAGTTTACATCCTCTGCACCGGCCCCCTGCTCAGAGCAGGATATGCTCAGAGAGGGGCATGATCAGAGCCGGGTACCAGGATCTCCTGCTGCCCCCCGAGACGCTCATTTGGGGCTCAGTGGCACAGGGCCACACCGACAGGAGCTCGGGGTCTCCAGCCCCGGCTTTGGGGCAGAAAGCTACGTCAAAGGCTCTGCTTCCCCAGTCCCACCTCAGCTTTGCTCGCTGCTCTTCACGCCCAGGACCCCCAGCCCCGCTCCACGGACAAGTCCCCTCAGGGGGACCAACCCCCGCGGCGGTGCTCGGCGCTGCGCACCGGGACGGGGCCACCCTCACCCTCCTCTTCCCCTCTCCTTCCCTCCCCGCAGGGCCGGCGGCACCCGCGGAGCCCCTCACTCACCCGTGCCGGCCGCGGAGCCGCTCCCCGCCGCGCTGCTGGGTCAGGTACGGCGGGCGCGGGGCGGTGCGGGGCGCGGAGCTGCGCGGTTCCGAGCGCGGCGGCAGCAGCGGTGGGAGGCGGCGGGGCCCCGAGCGGCATTTAACGGGGCGGGGGGAGCGGGGGGGGGGGGGAACGGCGGGGCGGGCCCCGGGGCTGCGCTGGGGGGGGGGGGGGGGGGTTGGTGTCTGTTCCGCCGCCTGCCCCGGCGGGGGGGGTCCCGCGGAGAAGCGGAGCTGCGCGCAGGTGGAAGCGGAGACCGGCGGAGCTGAGCACGGACGGGTTAATGCCAGCCCGTACGGCGGGAGCTTAGCGGCCAGCGAGAGCCCCGGCTACTGCCTGTGTCTTTTCCTCCTCCTCCTCCTTCATTTTCTTTTTCTCTTTATATTTCCTTTAATTCTTTTTTTATTTTATTTTCTGTTTTCTTCCCCCTTAATGTTCTTTTTTTTTTTGTTTCCTTTATTTTATTTTTTTCTTTGTTTTTCTTTCCTTTATTTTCCTTTGTTTTCCTTTATTTTTTCTTTATTCTCTTTATTCTTTTTTCTTTTTTTTTTCTTTCCTCTTCCCCTCCTGTGGGAATGCACCCAGGAGTCTCACAAACTTACCAGCTCCTGCAAAAACGAGAGTCCAAGCTTAATATCCATTTGACCTCCAATGCCCTGGGACTTTAGGAGCCTCTGCAGGTAGTGGCTGCAGTGTGGGGATGTGGGTTTTGAATCAGAGCTGTAGAGCTTCGGGTTGAGATCCCAGCAAGCAGGTCAAGTGACGGGCTCTGTAGTGATGGAGACCAGCAGGAGAAACTTCTTAGACAGCCAGGAATAGACCTTCCCAGCCCTGCACATCTTCCCAGCACTTAGATCAGTCTAGTGGTGGTAGGAACCACCTTTTAGTGCTTTACACAACTGAGTTTTCCCTACCTCTTTGCACTAACACCAATGGCTACATGAGGAAGAGAGAAAGGAGACTCCAGTATATTTGAACCCACATTATCAGCGTTTTCTAGCAGACGAGGCAATACTGTGCTATCCAAATTGGGTGTTTGGTGCTGGGACAGGAGCAGGGCAGTGGGAACATGCCCAGGATGACCACCCCAGCTGGCCCCCTCTCCCCTGCAGAGCTCAGCACCTCAGCGATTTTGTGCTTCCTGGTCTCAGCTGGTGTTTGCTGTTGGTGTGGTCGATAAACCCCCAAGCCCAGAAAAGACTGAATTTCACTTGTGTGTGCAGTGAGGGAAATACAGCATTTATAAATACCCATGCATATACAAGGGCTTGTGGGTTGGGTTGGTCTGGATTAAAGGAGGTATTGAAAAATGAGGGAAGCCAGAAACTGCAGGCTTCTCATTTCTGTGATTTCTAATGGCTTTTCCTTTTGCATAAACATTGCATTGACTCCGTACCCAAGAGCACTGCAGGCATTTTCTCTCCTGCTCTGTACAAAATATAACCTAGACCTCTAAAATGGATATTTTTTATTAGGATGTTTGGTTTCCCCAAGCTGAGGAAAGAACAGTTGCCCTCTGTGGCAGCAGGCACCCAGCAAGCATCAGGCAGCCGTGTCCTGGGGGCAGCCAACAGCAGCTCCTGTGTGCGGGAAAAGCAGCAAATCAATCTCTGCACTTGAATTCAGTGTTTGCTGTGCCTGAGGACACTGTTACCATGAGTTAAAGTTCTTGTATAAGGAGCTGATGTGAAGACCCGGTTTCTAAACAATACCTGTCGGGAGTGTAGTTTGGTCTCCTGAGCTGGTACTTTCACTCCCAGGGGACTGAAACAAGCGGATGCCTTCATCTGCAGGCTGAGCTGGTGAACGTTTGTGAACTGGGGAGCAGCAGAGGGTGGTTTGCTTCTCCTGGTGCCCATGAAGTGTTTTTCTGCTCCCGTGGTGGCCCAAGGGTGCACACAGAGGGTGTTTTAGGACTTCCCGGCCTGGGGCTAGCAAAGACCCATGGGTGTCCTGGGGTCTCTCCCATCTGCAACACCGGGGCAGAGCTGCCCCAGAGATGCACCTCAAAAGCGCGCTCACGCCTTCTCCTGGGACACATCCTGACCTAAAGCAAGGGAGAAGTGGCGCTGAGTGATGCCAGGCTGAGCAGGGAGGGGGAAAGACTTAAAAACTCAGTGTAGGGGAAAGGTGGTGGCTCCCCCTTTGCTCCCCCCTGTTTCCACATAATGCCTAACTGTGTACGAGAGCAACCGAGTCCCAGCTGAGACCTTGGGCTCTGAAAAGGAGGCTTTTAGAATGAGCTCAAGGAGCCCAGCCCATGCAGTGCTGCTAACATGACACTGAACTAACACTGCACTACAATCAAAGCATTTTAATAATTTAATATAATAAATTATATTAAGGAAGGAGTGAATAATTCCCTGTAACCCTGAGGAGGCTGGAGGTGCCAGAAGGAGCCAAGTGGGTATATTGAGCTGCTTTAGCAATAGCCCTTTGACTCTCTGAAGGTAAATTTAAACCAGATGAAGGATGCTGGGTGGTCGCCTCTATGGGCAGAATGGCAAGTACTGTTCAGAAGTGCGTCACTGAAACAGTTTAGCCCCCAGATTTGGGAGGCAATGGCTGCAGAGAACAGACAAAGAAAAGAAAACCAAGTTCCTAGGTAGTCATTTCTCCAGCTAGGCACCCAGTCTGAAGAGCTATGATCTGTTTACCTGCCTTTGGCATGCACGTTCCCACTTTAAGCAGTAAATAGCATGTGGATAATTATTCCAGAAGGCTCTTTAATAAGCTCTGGGCAGAAACCCATGTGCCTCTGGTATTACGTGCGGATGCAGGGAGCAGCGATAGCTGCACAAGCCTGGCCCTGCCCCGAGCCGGTGCCGCGGGAGGCTCTGCAGAGCAGGCGTTGCTGCTGGCCATGCTGTCAGCACACGTCTTAATCCACAGGTTTTGGCAGTTTGCTCCTGAACACTCCCTGCCTCTGCGTGGCCTTGGTACTGGGCTGTTCCTTACTCTGCTGATGGGTTACTAGGAGCTCCCGGCAGCGCCGCAGGGATCGGAGCTTTCCAGGCAGACCCCAAGCCACACAGATGGGCAATGGTGGTGGACACTGACAGGGGTGCAGCCTGTCCCCGCAACTGAGACGTGAGCAAGGGCCCGAAGTGCTGCTCCTCATTTTGCACTATGTAATGACGAGTCTCACCAGGAAACAGTCCCCACACCCAGCCTGGTTCTCCGCTGCTCTGCGCCCGTTGTCCCTGACAAACTGCGGGCAAAATGCGATTGAACACAGCCAGCGAGGTTTAGTACCCATTTTTCACTGTGCTGCACTGATGTAAAAGAATATCCAGTGTCTGGCCAACGGACAGCCTGTTCCTCGATTCACTTCCACGTTTATCCTGATCATAATCAGTAGTTACGTTAAAAAAAAAAGTGAATACTTTTGCAGAGAGACTCCCAAATGGTGCTTTTAGATGAAGGAGAAAGCAGCAAAGGCTGATCAAAGCTGAAATCACATCACTGCTTGGCAGCGATGAGTGAGACAGCTGCCGATTGCCATTATGGAAAAAGATCAAATAACTTTCTGATGGGATTCCTTGGCTGTGCAAAGATACAAACCCTTCAGTAAGCAGAAAAGGGGGAATGAAGCTTTTCAGCAAGACTGAGTAACCCACCCTGAATAGTGTTGGTAAAGTTCAGCTTCAGCATGCTGGAGCGGGAGTGTCCCAGCCCTGTGATGGAGGAGTGGAGGGAACAGATCCAGCCTCTGATAAGAGGTAGTAAAGGCAATCTGAAGGTCTGTGTGGGATCTGTTAAGGGTGATCTGAGTGCTTATCTGGAAAAGTTGCTCCTTCTGCCTTGCCATGAGTGCCAACTGGGGTGAGCTGTGGCTGAGCCCAGAGCCATAGCACTGGGCTCCAAGAGGAGCTCGGTTGCAGCACATGCTCTGCAGTCAGGAACAGGCTTTCCATGGCCATAAAACATTCATTTCCCAGACACAGAGCAGCAGCTAATGCTGTGGGTGACACTGGCACCAGCTGTAAATCTGATTTTGGCAGAGCTCTATTGATTTATGCCTGCTGGTGATCCAGCTAACACGTCTGGGCTAAAGAATTGAGAACAAGGAGGGCAGGAAATTGTATCACCCATCTAATAACCGAACCCAGCAGTGATGGGAAAATCTGTGAGGTGCAAAGTGCCAGGTCCCAGGGGGACTACCCAGAGGAGATACTGGGTAAATATTTGCTTGTACGTGAGATGTGTTTGTCTCCCACGTACAAACAGGAGAGCATCAGCTCCATCTGCAGTGTGGGAAAGTTGGAAGTGATGTATGTTTAGCATGAATTGTAACATGGGTCCTAGGAGCTGCCCAGGGCACAGCCTTTATAAAATGCACGTGTTGCACTGGAAAGAACAGAATTGGCATATGAACTGTTCTCAAAGGCTTTTTGCAGTGACTGCTGCTGCTTCTCTCTCTGAGAGCTTGCTCTGGCCTCTGAGCCCAACAATGTCTCACCACCACCTTCCTTGGGGTGCCTGGCAGGACCAGATCTGTCTCTCTTCACACATCTGATTGTTTAAGCCCTCAATTGTTCTCCATTTCTAGTCCATTTAAGAGGAAAAGAGACTGGTTTCAATGGGGATGCTCCATTGCTTACATCTTGCAAGATTATCCCTGGGTTGGCCAAGGCTGATGCCCCACATCCTCACCACTTCTTCTCTGAGCAATTCTCCAGTGCTGCCCACAGAGAAACACAGAGCTGTTGTCCTAATACCAGCAGGCACAGACACCCCTTTGCAGCAAGTCAAGGGAGCTCAGCGCATGAGAGATGTGAACTCAGGCTTAAGTCCAGACCTTTTCAAAACCAGCCACACTGGGTCCCCTTTCTTGAGTGTGCCCAGCTACCACATCCCAAACACTGGTAGATGTGAGAAGGAGGGGCTTGCAGCACTTCTTCCTTTGCTTCTGGTTTCCTGTTATCCAACCAAAGGTGCTCAAGGGGTTGAGGGGCTCATGATCACTCCCTTCTCATGCCCCAGGTCTTGCAGACATGTCCCCTGTGGCAGACCAGTGGGACCCATGGGCTTGGCCAACCTCACCTCTCTCTAGCCAGTTAACGCCCAACCTACTAAGTTAACAGAGTTAAATACCTGGTGCATGGGAACTCCTTCTAGTTAATAGAGCAGAAACAATTGGCAAAACCACCTACTTTGTCAGCCTTGGAGAAAAACACAGCTATTTTCACCCAACAGCCCTTGCTGAAGCCAACAAGCAGCTCCTCCTTGCGTGACAGCTCCCCAGCTGCGCTCACGGCTCAGCAGCATCATTGCCCAACTCACCCAAAAGCCACACAGCAACAAGCACATCAGGTGGAAAACCAAATTAATGATCGATTTGAGCACTGCCACCACTGTGAGGGACTGGAAGCCTTAGAAATGTGTGTTTCTGTGCTATTAACATAGCGTGTTGGATGAAAAACTGATGAAGTGTTACGGTTTAAGGACAAGCAGTTACTCAGTTATCCAAACTTGTTAGTTTTCAATGCCAGTCCTGATCTTAGAGCAGCTGAGCTCCAGCGTTTTCCAATGAGAAAACTTTTCCACCTTCTGGCTGTACGCAGAGGGAGCTCCAAGCACAGGGCTGGTAGGGCAAGGCGAGGAGCCCTGCTCTGGTGTTACAGTGCTGGGGCACCACTGTCTTGTAGATCCAACCCCTACCAAACCAGTCTGCTTCAAGACGGCGTGCGGAGGTACCTGCAGCTGCCAGCGGACCAGACAGTGCTGATACTGCATGCCAAAGTGGCACAGAAGTCATACGGCAATGAGAAAAGGTGGGACATTATTCCAGCTTCTATAGCCACTTCCAAACCAGCTGCCTAAAGCTCGATGTCAGCCTAGCTAGATTCCTCTGATCTAGGCAAATGATTTGACACGTCCCCTCCCCATCCGCTCACAACCTCTTTGCATTCAGAACCATTATTCAGTCTTACCGAATGACACAAGAAGGATTTTAATCCCCAGCTGCATTCATGCCAGTGAGACATTCCTTGCGGTCAGGTTCCTCCCATGAAGCACTGGAGATGAGAAATCTGAAGTAAAAGAAGGGAAGATGCCATTTAAGTCTTACCAAGAAAGAAATTACGAAGATGAAGGGGAGGGAAGGTTCATGTTTTAAGTGCTCTGGAAAACTTGCCTTAAAATCCAGAGGGCCGCAGCAGGGGCTGGGGCGTTCCCATCAGTGCCCACGGCCTCCGAAAAGCTGCTATTTTTGTAAATCCTGCCCACGCTGCAAAAACACCTTGAGGTTCTGGCTTGAATCTCCCAAATCTCTGCTCCTGGGCAGTGACGTCACACTGTGGCACTGCAATATAATTAATTCTCCATTAATCCTTGGGATATAAATAAACCTCCGTTATTATTGAGTGTGAAGTAGTTCTGAGGCACCAAGCTCTACCTCTAAGGCATAACCCACCCAAGCCCCAGAAGACAGCTCTAGGCTGAGCTGGCTGTGCCCACAAAGTCTTCATCCCTTCCAGTGCCCTGATGATCCATAGGTAAATGTTTTAGTTCAGGACTGGGTCTTGCAGCTGGGAGGGAAGCCCCTGTGTTGCTTCTCCTCTGGGACAGCCGCTTTCTCCTGCTCCTGGAGAGCAAGGGGTGAGCATGAAAATCAATTCCAGGTCTAGAGAAGGAGAGGAAACCAGCACAGAGCTGCCAGCTTAAAGTTTAAAGGTGCTGGTGCTGTTTTCCTTCACGGTGGGAATCAGGGGCCCATGCTGTGGGTGACTTATTTAAACAAACCCGTACCAAGGACTTTAGGGCTCTGAAACATTCAGCCCCCTGCCCTGGTGTTTTCTGTGCTAGTGCTTTATCCAGGATCAATAGGGGATGAATCTGCACCATTCACACAAGTGTAAAGACAGTGGAAACCCAAATAAAACACAGGAAAATAGTTTCCAAAACACTAGCTATAGATTTATTTGCGTTGGGCTCTGAATCTAGCTGTGAATGCAAACTCTGTTCCCAACTGGCCAAAACTCCTGCCTGGCAGAGGCAGGGGGCCTGATCCCTCCTTGGCTCAGGGCATGGGGTCCAGGGTGCCCTCTCCTCCCCCCTGGGGGCTGTCCCATGGCCTGCAGCCAGTGCAGGGCAGAGGGGCTGAGATGACTGCTTCAGCAGAGCCTGGTTCTCCCCACCCAGCCCTTTGCTGTAGCATCACGTACCTCCCAGGGCACAGGCTTGTTCCTGATGCTGGCGTCAGCTCTCACAGCCATCCCACTGACCCCAAGGAGCTTTTCTGGGTAAGAAAATGCTCTCTTGTCTCCCTAGGTTTTTCTGCCCCCCACCTTGTGTTTACCTGAGCGGGCCAGGATGGAAGTTAAAACAGGAGCAGATGAAAGGTAAGTGCTGGGCAGCAGCCCTGGACCTCTCCTCCCTCAAGGCTGAGCCCTCTGTGGTCCAGACCCAGGAAAGATTGGACCCTGGACCTGGGCCACCCAGCACACCAGGAGGAACCAAGCCCATGCCTGTGCAGGTTCTGGAGAGTGCTTCTCCTGATCTCTTCCAGCCAGGGACCCGGGAGATGCAGGTTTTCGGGTGTGTGGGTACATGGGGCTGGACAGCATGGGCAGCAGCCTGATGGAGACACAGAAGCTCAGCTTTGAGGAGCAGCCGGATGCAAAGGTAAGACCCTCTGCTCCCTGGGGCTGTAGGGACACCACTCATGCAGGGGTTGGGCTGTCCCCAGCATCACCCCACACCCTGGGATGTCACATCGTCCTCTTCCTTGAGATGTCACAGTCCTTCCTTCCTAGCCATCGCTCCCAGCTCCTGCTCTGCTACCCTGTTGCATGCAGCAACCCAAGCAGCCGGGCAGGCTCCCACACCTTCAAAGAGTCCTGTCTTTGAGCTCCATCTTGTCAGCTCAACAGCCCTGTGGCAGGCGAGCTGCCAAAGGCTGCACAGCTCCCTCAGCACTGGGACTTTCTCCCAGTGAGCAGCACTGCTGCTTATCACAAAATGGAAACCCAGGGTTTCATTTGCAGATAAACAGCCAAAAAAACCCTCCACTGACAGATCCCAAAGTTCAAGAGCTTCAGCAGAGCTCTGGCATCTTTTGATAGAGTAAAACATAGAAGGAAAAGCATTATCTGGGGTCCCTGAAGAGCACGGGGTCTGAGTCGGGCCAGAAACCTTACAAAAAGAGCCTTTGTCTGCAGTGCTTGCTTTGCTGCTAAAGCACAGTGTATCAGCCAGGACAGGGGGGGAAACCATAAACCCAGGGTTATTTCTCATGTTATGTGGGATAAATCACACGTGAACATTCATTCCCATGAGGAATTCTCTGCCCCCAGTGTAAATAAAGCCTCTGCCGATCCGCAGCTCTTCATTCCACCTGTAATAACATCTCCGGTCATTTCCCCATTTAAATGAAGCCAGGGCTCTTTGAAAGGGCACTATTATGCCCTTGTGGGGCAGTGAGGAGGGTGAGGAAGGCTGGTGGGGCTGGGCTGGAGCTGCCAGCAGCCTCTCTCTGCCCTTGGCAGGGATTTGGCTGTGCGAAGGCGCTTTACATCTCGGATGCGGACAAGCGCAAGCATTTCCGCCTGGTCCTGAAGCTCTTCTTCAGCAACGGGCAGGAGATTGGCACCTTCCACAGCAAACTGATCAAGGTCATCTCCAAGCCTTCACAGAAGAAGCAGTCACTGAAGAACACAGACCGTGCGTATGGGGATGGCTGTGCAGGGAGGAAGGTGTGAGCGCAGGGCGGGATGCTGTCCAAGCGCTCACAGCCTGGCTCTGGAGTGGTCCAGGTTGAATCCAAAGCCCATGGAAACTCCCCAAAGAGGATGTATCTGGGTTATTGATGTATCTGGGTTATTGATGTCTCCTTTCCAAACACTTCACCCACCACCATGTGTAATGCACTGGTGCCAGCATGCTCCCCACACCTTTGAAAAGCCAGCAGGGCTGGCACTCGCATACAGAGAAGGGCAGCCGGGGAGGATGCTGGCTCCAGCCAGGCTGGGGGCACCAGTAACGCGGACTTGTCCTCCCCATGGCTGAAGCACAGACCTGGCAAGTACTAACCCAGCCTCCTCTCCCCGCAGTCTGCATCTCCCCAGGCTCCAAAGTCTCCCTCTTCAACCGCCTGCGCTCCCAGACCGTCAGCACCCGCTACCTCTCTGTTGAGGGGGGAGCCTTCATCGCCAGTGCCAGGCAATGGGCAGCCTTCACCCTCCACCTGGGTAAGGAGCCTCATGGGGCTGCTGACACCAGCAATGCTCAGGGCTGCCTCACTCCCACCCTGGCTCTTCCATGCTGCAAACTCAATTCCTGGGAGCAAAAGGGGTGGGAATTAGCCTAGGGATGTGGGAACCTGGCTCAGGTCTCACCTCTGCCCAACGTTCCTGATGGGTCTCTGAGCTGGTAGCTGTTTCCCACTGGCTTTGAGGGTAGGCATCATGCCCTGAGGGCATATGGGCTGTGACAGGGTCAGCATGAGCTGTGTTGGTCTGGGGGTTCATCAATCCCAGCAAGTAACTTGGCTGGGAGAGGCCAGAGCCCAGCAGCCTCCCTGCCTCCAGCGGTGTCCCTGTGAAGTACCGCATCCCAGTTGCACTCTTCTGTGCTGGGCTCCCAGAGAGCAGCAGCCTCTCCAAGCAGTGAGCACCTGCAGAGGGGAGAAAGCAGTAAGAAAGCACCAGCATAGCACACAGCAAGGCAGCCCAGGTTAACCTGCTCCCCTGTTCAGGGCAGTGACTGCCTCTCTCCTTCCCCGCAGCCAATGAGCACTGCACCCGGAGCGAGTTCCCCCTGCGGGAAGGGTACATCCGCTACGGCTCCGTGGTCCAGCTGGTCTGCACTGCCACTGGCATCACCCTGCCACCCCTGGTAAGCCTTCATCCCTGAGGGTGTCAGGCACAAGGGCCTGGCTGCTCTGAGCATCGGGTACCATCCCAAAGATGCTGCTGCTGCTCCCCACAGATCATCCGGAAGGTGATGAAGCAGTATGCCATGCTGGATGTGGACGAGCCCATCTCCCAGCTCCACAAATGTGCCTTCCAGTTCCAGGGCAGCGACCGCATGTACCTGTGTCTCTCCACAGAGAAAGTGATCCAGTTCCAGGTATGGCAGCAGGAGGACCCCTGCAGTGTTCCCTGTCCTCTCTCCAAGCTGCTCTTGTGTTGCTGCCGGCTGGGGAACATGTCACCAGGAGGGGTCTTCCCTTCCAAAGGGGGTTTGCATCCAAATTAAGGTCAGAATCGTTGCATAGCCATTTGCCTCTGGGTTGCCTGCTTCGGTGGGACATTGTCACCAAGGTCTTTGCAAAGGCATCATGATCCCCATTTCCTAGTGAGGGAAGCAGTTGCTTGCTGGAACCGAGACACCAGAGGCAGAACCCCAGCCCTGGTCCCCACTGCAGTGTGGTGCTGTGAACTCTCCATAGGCATCTCCCTGCCCAAAGGAAGCCAACCGGGAGCTGCTGAATGATGGCTCCTGCTGGACCATCATCGGCACTGAGACAGTAGAGTACACCTTCAGTGAGAGCCTGGCCTGCATCCGTGAGCCCGTCAGCCCTGTGCCGCTCATCACTGCCCTGCAGGTAGGTACAGCACCAGCCACGGGTCACCCCACCTCTCCATCACCTGCTTCCTGAGCCTTTGCAGTCGACGTCTCCCAGTTTTGGATGCTGTGGGAATGACAAGGTCTGGACTGCTGCAGCGGGGACATGATGTGCAGCAGGGACGGGATGCACAGGCAGAGCATCCTGCAGGAGAAGCAGATTGGATCATTCCACCATGTAACACACTGCTGTGCACTCTGCCCGTCACAGCTCACGGGTGGTGGGGACGTGGCCATGCTGGAGGTGCAGGGGGAGTATTTCCACGCACACCTCAAGGTCTGGTTTGGAGATGTAGAAGCAGAGACGATGTACAGGTAACATGGCCGGGGAGCAGGGCAGGGAATGGCAGCCGGGTTTGGGCTGCGCTGGGCAGCTCTGGGAGGGACGTGGCTGCTGACCTTGGGGACAGGGGCACTTGCACTGCTTGTTCTGCGAGAACAAGCACAGGAATTGCAAGGAGAGGCAGGGATGAGTCTGGCTGGTGCCTGCTCTCTGCCCTGGCTGCAGTCAGGATAGTGATGGTGGGGATGACAGGGACCTCAGAGGGCTGCAAGTGACCAAGTGACTTTGGCAGAGCAGCACAAAACACTGGGGAGGAAAGGGGAAACTTGCTGGAGCTTCACAATGTGCTCAGGCTGGAGGAGACTTGTGGACACTCACGGCCAGCTGCTCCTGCGGGGGACTCTCCTTATTTAACACACATTTTCCTCTCCTGCACTGTCCCAGGAGCCCCAAGTCTCTCATGTGCGTTGTCCCTGATGTCTCTGCCTTCGGCAGTGACTGGAGGTGGCTGCGATACCCCATCACGGTCCCACTCCTGCTGATCAGGGACGATGGCCTCATCTACTCCAGCTCCTTCACCTTCACCTACACCCCAGAGCAGAGCTTCATCCCAGGGCAGCAGGTCCTCTCGGATGTCCCGCAGGACTCAGACAGATTACTTGACAGCATCCATCAGGAGTTCACTAGGACCAACTTCCACCTCTTCATGCAGAGCTAGCAAGCTGGGCAGGCAGAGGCTTGGCCTGGGAAGGGGAAGCAGCCTTGAGCCATGCTGGGGTTCTCCATCCAGGGCTCGGGGTGGCCCCACCAAGGGGTCCACCCCATGCATCAAACACCCACCATGTTCCTGTGACTTGTTGACTTGTTTCTTCTTCATGGCAGCATCTCTACCCTGCGGAGATCTCGCATGAGAGCATCAATAAATCAGGCTTGAAGGACTCTTTACAGATTCAATTGCCTCTTTACTAACCTTCATGATTTACCTCCTGTGCTGGCACAGAGCATCACAGCTCCCTTGATGTCCTCAGTCCATATATTCAAAGGCCAGGATGGAGAGGGATGCTGCATGAATGCGACCTTATGTCTTATTGACCTATACCAGGAATCGCTGCATTGCTTCTGTGCTTTTCAGTAATGGGGAGCTGATTTCCAGCAGCCAAACACCCGGCAACAGATGTTTTGGTTTTTTATTGGAGGCCCAAATGGGGTTATTTCAAAAGGAAAAGGGGAAAAAAAAAAGAGAGAGAGAAAAAGCCCTTCAGTGTGAAACCCAGCCCCTTCCTACTGCTGTGGCTCTGCTGAGCTCTGTTGTTTTACACACTTATTCACACAGAGAAACTGCAGTGCTGGCACCAGCAGGAAAGTGCTGATCTGAAGATGCCATAAAAAGAAGCCAGGTTTCTTGAAGCCAGACCTGAGCTTTACACAGAGCGGGTCTTAAAGTTTTATTTAGACTTTAGATCTCCGAGGCATCAAAAGACCCGTGGTGTACATGGAAACCTGCTGGTTTGGCAGCCTTGAGCTGCGTTTTGAAACAACCCAATTGACAGACCCACAGAGGTTTCTAACCCACACTGAACTCAGCAGCTGGGAGCAGGGGAAGCGTGCAGTGCCCCAGGACCCACACACGGGCATCCCTGGCTCATTGCCTGGCTCGCCTGCATGGTTTGGGTGCTGGAGCTGCCCAGACTGAGAGCCATGGCTCCAGATGTTGAATTCAGGGCTGCAGGGGATCAATGGCCTCGCACCATCCAGCATGGAGATGCACAGGGGTGCCTAGTGTCTCCATCTGCAGCTCATGCATGGCCCTGGCTCCCATGGGTCTCCAGTGTCCTAACCCAGGGCTTCCCAGTGGGCAGCACCTCCCTAAACTCCACCAGGAGATGGGTTTCCTTCTTCTGCAAAACAGGAATCTCACAGAAGGTGAAAGGCTCTTGGCAGACACATCTGTGTGCATCTGGAGCTGCAGCTGCTGGAGGAGCGACTCAGGGGGAATATTACACCACATGGCAACAGCCAAAGGCTGGTGGAGGAAAGGGCTGGAGGACAGAGGAAGGGGAACAATGTGAAGGGTGTTCAAAGGGGAGCAAGTGCCTCGAGCAGGAGGCAAGTCCCAGTGCACTCAGGTGGTGGTAGCAGTGGTATGAGGCCTCACTGCCCCTGTTCCTGTGTGGCAGCTGCTTGGGCCACCCCATCAGCCCATGTCTACCATCCCCTGCCCTCACCTCCCCAGCAAATCCACCCCAGCCATAATGTAACTGAGGGTGAGATGCAAGAAACCCTGCAGCTGACCTGAATCAATCCCTCATATTTCTCCCAAAAGCATTTTCTCCTCCATCTCCCTGGGGAAGAACTGGAGGGCTGTGAAAAGATGGGGTCAAATATTTCCAGCTTCTTTCTTCCTGCATTCCAAACAGGAGTGTCTGGAACCCACGGCCTCCTCGACCCTCTCCTTTTCCTTGGAAGCTGGAGCATAATTCACGTTTTATGAATGGAAAGCACCCCTGGCTATATTTAGCAGCAGCTTGGTCCCAAAGGGCAGGAGGAGCACTGCTTGTTGACTTCAAGGGCTTGGAACAAGCCTGCCTTATGTTTACAGCACAGCGCTTTGCTGGAGAGGCCAAGGAAGCACCGAGTGGCTCATTCTTGAAGCTTGATGGATTAAGCAAACAGCCACAGTAATTCAAGCCACATGGGGAAAAGAGAGGTGGTGGCGGGCGGGCTGGGAGGGCTCGGGAGGCTCCTGCCTTCCCCCGCCTGGCCACGGGCTGCGTTTAATCTGCTTTTCACTGCAGGACCTGCAAATGGCACCAAGGAGCTTTGCACCTCCTGGAGGAGGCACTGCCATGGGGAACACGTGCGGAGGGTCCCAGCGGAGCTGTTTGTTTGCAGAATCACTGATTAACACAAACGTCTCGCCCAGGCTCCAGCCATCCAATTGTGCGCTCCTGCTCCGGAGTCGGCAGCGCCTGCCTGCAGCCGCCTGCAATAGCTCAGCACATGTCAGGGGTGCACGCTCGGGCCATGCTGCTGGCTCCAGTGAGCTGGGCTGTCCCACAGAGCCCATCTGGCAGCTCTGCTGTGCTCCTGAATTGTACGTGGAGCTTCCCCCACCCGCAGGGCAGCCAAAAACATGGGGATAAAATGAACACACCCCCCCCCCCAAAAAAAAAAAAACCACCTTCACTCCAAGAAGTAGGGATTTAGGAAAGGTATCAAGTGCTTTAGGGATGCCCAGGATAACTTAACGCTGTGTGGCATTGCATGAGCATCTGCAGGTGATGGCAAAGCTTGAAGGCAATGAAGATCCTCTGCTCCCGCCCAGAGCTCCACCACTAGGAGCTATTTCAGCTCCCGAGGTGATCGTCCCTACAAAAACACAAAGAAGAAAATAGATCCTGGCTTTCCTTCCATAAAACAAAACCCCGGAGGAACACGAGGGCTGGTTCTGGGGTGCCTCCGTTTCTGCCTGGGCTGTGCAGCACCTCCCAGCCCTTTGGAAGAAGAGCTGCTGCCATCTAGTGAGCCCACCTCCAGCAGCCTGCCTGCTGAGCACCGCCACACTCATCGCACTGCTTGCCCCGGAGCTGTGCTGGGCGCTGGGGATCATCGGGGCATCTCCGGCCATCCCCAGGGAACATCATCTGCCACGCGGAGGGTGGGCTGGTTTTTGGCTGGGGGTGTAAGGATCGGGGCAGTAAGGCGTTTGCCTTGGCAAGGGCAGCCCAGGGCAGATCCCTGGCACCTCCCTGCATAGCATCCTCACCCCCTCCCCAACACAAGCATGGTCAGGCAGTGGCAGTGCTGCCAGATCCCTGCTGTCCCCCAGGCAGAGCCTCCGGGTGGTCCCAACGGGCCCACAGCCCCCACTGCTTGCTATAAATGCCTGCCTCACCAGCCCTTGAGAACAGAGAATATGGGGATGCTGCTCTGCTCACCAGCAGAGGTGGGGCTTTAGCCCATTGCATACACACTCTGCACAGGGATGCTCAGCGTGGTCTTCACCTGTGTCGTGGTTTAAACCCAGTCAGGTAACTTGTTCACTCACTTCCCCCTGTTCTTGCCCTCCCCCTACTCCCGGAGGGACAGAGAGGAGAATCAAACAGAATGCACCTCCCACGGGTTGAGATAAGAACAGTTTAGTAACTAAGGTATAACACAAATCACTGCTGCTACCACCAATAATAACAATGATAAAGGAAATAACAAGGGAAGAGAATACATCACCTCACCACCAACCGACTGATAACTCGCCCCCCCCAGCCCGACCAAGCACCGACCGATACCTCCCCCAACCCTGCAGTCTCCCAGCCCTTCCGGCTAACTCCCAGTTATATCCTGGGCATGACGTGCTGTGGTATGGAATACCTCTTTGGTCAGTTTGGGTCAGGTGTCCTGTCTCTGCTTCCTCCTGGCTTCCCCTCCTCCCTGGCAGAGCATGAGGCTCACAAAGTCCTTGGCCAAACCAAAACATCCTTGTTATCAGCTCTGTTCCTGAGCCGAAACACTGCACTGCACAGGCTACCAAGAAGGAGAAAAATGACTGCTACTGCTGAACCCAGGCCAACCTGCCAGACCCACATAGGGCTGATGTAAAGTCCCCAGCTCACTGCTTGTGAGGGGCTGCCCATCCCACCCTGCACCAAGGGGCTGCCTGTGTGAATGGGAGTGAAGGGAGCAGCCGACCCCCAAACCAGCACCCAGCATGGGAGCTCAGAGTCCCACATGCACCGGATGAGGCACCGCAGGGGCAGAAGAAAAGGCACTTCATGAAACCTGCTCCAGCACATGGTTAAATTAACAACAAGGGCAGGATCAGTGCTGAGAGCCAGGGCGAGGTTTGCTCTTTGCTTTCTGCCCTGGGGAGCACAACCAGGAGTACGGCTGCAGGAGAGGAGTCCCCCACCCTCTCTGTGACACCCCGGGTTTGTCCCCATGCCCCTGCCCAGTGCCACCAGCCCCACAGGGCTGCCTTTGTGGCTGTGCGTGGTCACCGATCCCTCGCACCCTGCCAAGAGCCGACACGTGTGTGTGTGCGCAGCCCCCCCCGGGGCAGGTTTGAAGGGCTCTTTGTTCCCCCGTGTAATTATACCCGAGCGGGGGAATAGAAACGTGCTGAAAACCCCTCGCTGGACCTTTCTGACAGGGGCCGGGGCATCCGGTCACACAGTGGCCCCATTGTTCCCTCCCGCATGCCTGGAGCAGGCAGCCCACACCTCCTGCACACACACACACCCTTCCCTGAAATAACCATCCCCTGGGTAAAAACCGTGTCTTTTCCTCTCCTAACATCAATACTGGGCAAAACACCCCAAGGCTCCCCCTGCCCAGGGCTGGCAGGGCGATGCTGCAGCAGTTAAGGGCAGTGCCCCTGGGTGAGCCGATGCTGTTAAGCACTGGGAGCACCCCCAGCACCTCAGGGCCTCGCATCAGTTCAGCAGGGGACATCCACACTCGTGTCCTTCCCTGTCCATGTCAAACCCCACAGAGATCTGCGGTCATATCCCAAGTCCTTGCCCTGCCTTATGCAAAAATGGTCCTGCCCCATGGAGGCAGAGCAGCAATGGGCTTACAGCTGCAGCAAACTGGTTTCTAACAACGAACTGGTCGGTGGTGGTTAACCAGGACAGCAGCCCAGGATTGCCAGCCTGCCCCTCATGCTGGTCCCAGCAGATCACCTTCAGAGTTAGGCAGCCCCAAGCTCTGGTTCTGCTTTCAGACTGTGCTTCGTCCTGAAGCAAAGAGACATCCATGAAGTAGCCCTGGCCATCATCCTTCTGGTAGCACCAGGAAGGGCTCAGCAGAAAGGAAAGGGGTTTTGGGGCACCTTTGCCAAGCATGGACTTGCAAAACAAACCTTCAAGGAGCACAACACTCACCTTAGCGGCCATATCCTGCACAAGCATGGTCTGGGAGAAGGACCATGGCTGATGCTCAGTGCCCTGCACATTTGCCTTTCTTGGCCACATATGCCAGCACCTGGGATGAGAGGCCATCAGTCTGAGGTGAGCATCCCGTCCCTGCAGCTGAGTGGAGATGCACTCACAGGGCGGTCCCAGTCAGCTTCCCTCCCGTGGGAATCCTGCAGCAGGGAGGCTGAGCCAAGCCAGCATCCCTGCCCTGCACATCCCCAGGAGCTGGGGCTCCACAGAGCCACCACCGCCCAAGGCTGGGGTGCCGCTGGGAGCCAGGCTGGCTCCACCACACCCTCCGCGATGCTGGGCACAGCCCTCGCAGGTCCGGGCTTGCCCGTGGCTCTGGGGACAGGTAGCTGTGAATGCAGCAGCTCATGGCAGTTCACTGCCCCTGGGCTGGCACAAGCAGGGAGTCCCACGAGCACCCACTGCCCCTGCGGCCCGGTGGGAGAGCGGGAAGGGCCCATCCCCGTGGCACTGGGGCAGGATGGGGGTGCTGCTGAGCTGGGGGGCTCTCTGCAGCACAGGGCACAGCATGGTCTGATTCCCAGGCACAGAACAGAGTGGATTTGACTTTGAGGGGTGAGGCGGGTGCCAGCCCCGAGCTCCTGGAACACGTTGCCCACATAGGGAAAGCCAGTCCAGCACCTCCCCAGCCCTTGCTCAGCCTGAGCACCCCCACATGCTCATTCTGGGGGGTCTTCTTTGCCCCAGACCCATGCCATGTCCAGCACTCACCTCCTCCCCACAGCAAAGCCTTTTTCAATGTCTTTTATATGGAAATGGTTTCCCTGTGGGTCCCAAGTGCCTTTCAGAGCCCAGGACACCCCTTTATGGGCAGCTTTGCCCACGAGCTTCGGCTTCAATGGCTGTGACAGAGCCGATGTCTCGGCAATGCTTTCGCTCCCCATAAGGAGCGCGGAGCTGGGCTGGGGAGCACTGTGGAAAGTGCTTGCTTCCACCTGAGGGCTCAGGAGCTGGTGGCACCTCCAAGTGTGAAGCTGTTCCAGTCCCTCCTCTCCAGTCCTGCCAAGAGCTCAGGGCCTTCCGCTGCACTGAGGGTCTTGTAATGAACTGGAAAAGAAAAAGGGTGGAGGGAAGTAAGGGAGGAAAGAAAGAGAAACTAAACAGGACATGGAAAACGAAAAAGGAAACGAGGAAAAAAAAAAAGAAAACGGGGGGAAGGGGAGGGATGGGACGGAGGAAAGCGGAAAAAGAGGAGGGAAAAATCAAACGGGGGAGATAAAGGAGGGGGAAAAGGACGAAAAGCAAGCAGGAACCGCCCCGTACCGGGCAGGGTTCGCCGGGAGATGGCAGCAGACCCCAGGCGAGCGGGAGCGAACGGCGCCTCCCAAGCGGAGCAATGCAGGTCCTCGGGGCTGCGGTTTTAAACCCAGAGCAGCGCTGGGAGGAAAACCAAGGTCCCTTATTCCCAAAGAGCAGGAGTTCACAGGGCTGTAGTGCTGAGCGGGCAGAAAGGCAGATGGAGGGAATGGGGACCAACCCATCCCGGGAGCCACGGCTCCACGAGGACAGGCAGGCAGCCAAGGCTCCCGCTGCAGGGATCTGCGGAGTACCCGTCCGCATTGCTTTGGAGACAAACAAGGCGCTTTTACGCCGAGGGCGGTTTTGGGAAGATCACGGGATTCCTGCAGCCCGGGAGAGAACATAAAACATATTAAAAGGAAATAAAACACAAACACAGGCCGTTGCAAGCAGCGCTTCCAGGAACTTGGCAGAGCCACACGAGATCACGAAGGCTGTGGGTGAACGTCACCGGTTTAGTGACAAACAGCAGCACCCACGGAGCAAAGGTCAGCCCCGGGACTTGCATCACCCAGCGCTAGCAGCAGATCCACAAGTGTTTGCTATTCCCTCCCCTCTGAGGGAGCCTGAGTGCGAGGCCCGATTTGTCTCCTCCATCCCCGCTAATCCCAACCGCCCGGAGTGGGAGCTCCCACCAGGGAGAAGGGAATTGGTTTTCTCGAGGACGATAATCCAGTTAAATACAGCACTTCTCAGGAGACTCGGTGCTTTTCCCAGCAAGCACAGCCCAGGAACTGCCACGTGCCCAGGGACTCTTGTCCTGTCCCTTGAGAGCACCAAGCTTCAGAGTAGAGGGCTTGGAGAAGCAGCTTCCTCCAAGAAAGATCTTGCTTAAGAGCTGCTTTAGTCCAAAATACCCTGAAGAAGGCACCTATGGACTTGTTCCCACAACAGCTGATTTCAGGGAAGCTGAAACAACTCCACTGGCCACTTGAAGGTCCACACGACTGAAAGAGGGTTGGCTTGAAACTTGGTGGTTCAAGAACCTGCACACATTGCTCTTGTATCTTTGAGGGTGCAGGCACATGCTGTCACTGGGGGACATGCACAAGCCTGTCCCTAGTTCCCCGTTTCTTCCCACTGCAAGAGGACAGATCTCTAAAGGTGCCGTGACAAAACTGATCCCCAAAAAGAGGGTGGGCTCACCTCCATGCCATGCTGCCTCTCCTCGCCTGAAGGAGCTTCAGCAGCTCCAGAAGCCCGGTGACACTGGTCCTCCAGGAGTCACTTAGGGGTCAAACACTGAAGGCAGCACATGAGCTACAGACAAAGCTTCTTTGAGCTTCAGGCCACCACCAAGCCACATCCCAGCCTCCCCCCTTTGGGAAACCAAGTTACACAAACACGAGCTCCCTGTTTTTCTCACTCCCAAAAAGCTATTTCTGATCAAAAATGGTCCAAAAAGCCAGGTTTAGAAAGTAACAGTTTATTTGAGAAAATAAAATCAGTAACAGTGGAAAAACCCCCAAGAGCAATTACACAAGAGAACCTAAACACCCCGAGAAGCAGATGCTGCTCCTGCCTTTCCGGTACCACTGTCCATTGGCAGTGAAGTCCTCCCTTCTCCTTCCCAGTCCACAGTGACCTCTGTGCAGTTTTTACAGCTTCCCAGCGCCTGCAGATTCCCTGAACACACTTGTACTGGGACCAAGCGAGCCAGTCAAGCCTTGGGAAAAGTCCTTTCACACGGTGTCTCAATACAGGGCTCCCCCTGCATTCCCACTTGGCCTGCTCAGCTCTGGGAAGCAGCTGCCACCAGCTGAAGCTGAACTTTTGTTCTATTGCCTCTGTGAATTTGGCCTAAAGCCGACAACAAACCCTCAGTGAGGAGGCTTCAGGAGTCGATGAAATTGCTGAACAGCCTTCCCAACCAATCTGGTTTTGTGCTGCCTAATGCTCAGTATGGGGGCCCACACTCTGGGCTTCTCCTGAGCCACATCAGATTCAGAGAGCTGCAGGAGCAAATGACATGCACAAAGTTCTGTAACACCTTCTTGAAACAAAGGCATTGGACACACACATTACCCGTCACTTTAGGAGTGCTGGGGCAATCAGTCTAACTCTCAGTAGAGGTAGGAGCTATGTACATGATATATTAAGAGAGACCCACCATGGGCGGTTCAGAGCTAGCCCTCTATGAAAGCTCAATGCTCCCAACTGAGACAGACTCCCAGCTACAAAAGCCAGCCCCCTGCAAGAGGCAGGTACTTGGCACAGCACCACAGGGACTCTGCAGTGCAGCCAGCCACCAGAACAAAGTTATTTCCACCATACTGTGAGCTTCCAAAGAGTAACCCCAGGTGGGGATCTCTGCTCCAAAGAGGACCAAACCTGGCACACCTCCAACCGCCTGCTTCCAGGCACAGGCCAGGGACACGCGACAGAGCCCCAGGGTTCCAGCTGCTCCCAGCTGCATACCAAACACCAGGCAAGACACTGGATAAACAGCAGCACAAACGAGACCAAGCCTCTTGCATACAGTAAGGCTGCTGAAGAACAAACTCCAGCCTTTTCACTCTTAACTGCATTATTCCTCAGTAAAATATATAATATATAGCTCTATAGGACCGATTATAATATATTACAGGCTAGAAATACTCTCTCATCTTTTCCCCTACTTCAATCATATTATGAATCCAATTTTGCATACAAATTAATCCTAGAAGTTATTGCTTTGCGTTTATAATTAAAATTCACAGAATAAAGCTTAAATAGTTTTCACAGAGACTCATTATATTAGTGTTTTACATAAAAAGGATAAAAGTTACCAACCAAGAGCAGCCATTTCAGAAACTATAAATAATTCTATTAAAAAAAAAATCAATTCCTAAAAAAGTTATGGGAAAGCCATAAATATCTTTACCCTCTACAGTAGCTGCTATAGAAATAGAAGAAACCTGTAACACACTGTAGCTAGCTCTGCTTCAGTTGAGAATATGAATCATATAAAACAACAACTCTAGAGAAATGCCCGGCCAAAGGAAACACAAAGGGAATGAAAAAATAAATCTGAGGAAATTAAAAAAGTAGATTTTTTTATTATTATTATTTCAAAACTATTTCTACAAACTTTATATAAAAATTAGGCTATTTTCTTTAAAATTTTATGAAAAAAAAAAAACAAAACAAAAAGAACACCTCCTACAAGCAATCCTTACAAAAAAAAAAAAAAAAAAGAGACTGAAGGCAAGGAAAGGGTGCCCCCATAGCCAAACAAAGCCGGCTGTCCTGATTTCATGGACTAATGACCCTTGCCTGGGGCTGACAGGAAGAGACAGAAGTCTCCGAGGGAAGACATTCCCATAGGCCCTTTATGGCATTCAGGGATTAAGCCCCTATGGGCCTTTTACTCCCCTGATAAGGCAACATTATCTGTAGTGTAAGAGATTCATAAACAGTTCTCCACAAACATGCTCCACATCACCAGCCTGCTGCAAGACTTCTATTAGCAAGGTTTATAAAAAGAGCCATCTTCTATAGAAGCAGCCAATCTGAGCTCAGCACATTGGGTGCAAACACATGGTGTTTGCTTCCATACAGTCTGCTTTGTGTTTATATACCCTCTATGAAACCAAGCAGAAAATTTGGCATCTTGATTCTCTTTACACTAGCTTTAGAAACAAGAAAAAAATACACTGAGGTTTATTTTTTTTCAGACTCTTTGTATTTCATTGGGCCCTTGGTAGCTGAGTGGGATGGGAAGGGTCACGTAGGAAGTTTGTTTTCTCTCAAAGTCACTTTGAAATTCAATCCAAAAAAGAGCATTTGTTCAGCCCATCTCATCTGAGGGCACAGTGTTTCCATACAGTCTGTTTGTCCCTTGATGGGCACAAGGTGCTGCTGAGTTTTAAGCATAGAACTCATTTGTTGGGGCTTTCTTGTAGATGGGTTTCTTCCCAAGGTCATAACTACCTTCATCCTTTTTCTTCATGCGATAGACTAAGATGAGGATCAGGAAGACAGCAAACAGGAGGCCCACTGCCCCTCCTGCAATGAGAGCTGGGGAGGAAAAGAGAGCATGGAATAAGTCTTGGACAACTATAAACCATCAGCTACATCTCAAAGCCTGTTTCAAGAGAACCAGCCCCCAGAACTGCCTCCAGAGCCTGCATGTCCATGTGCCTGTCACCACATGTGCTGGCATTTTCTGCAACAGGACACGTTATTGGCAGAGGCCAGAAACTGCTTTCAATCTAACCACAGAATAATGTTCCACATTAACCAGTTTGTGTTGATGTTCCTGTTCAGTGCAAGAAAGAGGTTTTGACAAAAAGACATCTCCACGTGTGGAGGCAAAACAAAAACACCCACCACAACCCACAAACAGCCTCAACACCAGGAGAATGGTACAGCTCTGACTGAAATGCTTTATTAACTACCTGTGTGAGCACACTCTGGGGACTCTGCATTTCAGTTTAACAGCACTACTACCACCACCTCCCTCCAAAAAATAACTCACACCCACCCCAACAACTAGGAACCACAAACCCTCAAAAAACCCAACAAGATCTTCTCTCTCCTCACACCAAGGGTGGCCACAAGAATTCAGTAAGTTTATCCTTTGCTGTGGCACCTACTCATTGAACAAATCAGCTTTGTTAGGTGGCTTTGCAATCCACTCTTCCAGGCACTCCTGACTGGGAGGATGGCTGCAGATTGGCAAGATGTGCCAAGGTTTGTACTCGGACCACCAGGCCAAGTGCTTGATGAAGTGTGCCTTCAGACAGATCTGTCCCACATGCTGAGGGGAAGCCAGCCATTTAGTTTTGCTCTAGACAGAAATACTTAAGATTTTTAACAGTTGACTAGGCGTTTAAATCCCTTAGAGAAGTTGTTTGGTTCCTGGCAATGATCAGAACAGGCAGGACTTGGGCTGAGGTTAGACAGAAAATGCCTGCATTTGATACAAAATGATGTAATTGATTTATGGCTAGATACACCTCCTGTTGGGATAGTACCTGGATGCAGAGCAGCTGCCACGTTCTTGTGTAGCACTGTTGCCTTAACAGTCACCTGGCAGCTCAAAACCAAGCTGTTTATCCCAGCAAGGCAAGCAATAGGCTTTTCTGTTCAAGGACTAGAATGCAGAAATGACCCTGCCACAGGCAGTCATGAAAGTAACATATTTTGCTCCCCTCACCAACAAGGAACTGCTCCCCAGGCAGCCATTATGATTTACAGTATTAATGATTTATCAGGGACAAGGTGGAACATTACCTGTAAGGACTTCTGTTCTTTCAAAGATGCTGCTGTTGGCTGTACTCGCTGCAGAGATCTTGTTGGGCAGGTTCTCTTCAACAGGTACAGCTTTGCCTGGAATGATTTCATTGTCCACCATTGTGTTTTTCCCCTTCCCTTCTATCTTCCCCTCAGTATCTCCAGGGATATAGTTGTCAGATATCTACAGAATATAGACAAACCACACCCATCAGTAAGCAGCACCCAGCCTGCCTGCAACTCAAAGCGGGAGGGTGTACAGGGAGAAGAAAGTTTGCTTAGTGCATTATGAGAACACTGTTCCTGCTCAAGCAGGTGGAGTCATCTTGATGCCATGTTCTGCAGGGGAAAGGGTATTCCACAAAAGCTTCATGGACAGACAAGGGTAGCTCCACATCGCTTAAAACATGCAGAGGCAATACCTACCACAGGAGCGTCCATGGTGGTCAGATATATGGCATCTTCAGAGTCCAAGTAGTCTGCAAAGGGGAACAAAGGAAAAAGGAAGTGAAAAGGACATGAAATTTTCCTCTCATGACATTCCATTTCTCCAGAATTCAGACACTTCCTGCAAACCAGCAACTGCAGACAGAACTAGGACTGTAATTCCCTCTTATCTACTAGTACTTTTACCATTTAATTGCTTTGATTGCACAAGACCATGAGATGTAATCTTAAAACCAGGAGATGCAATCTTAAAACCAACACCTCTCTCATGGGAGGGGTCTTCAGCTGGACAGATCGCCCCCCCTGCAGATTACCAGGAGCTGCCCTGCTAAGCAAGTCTGCTATAGCTTGCTAAGCTGCAGCTAATGGAGGACAATGCTCTCACCACCCACCCCTAAAGGAGTTTGCCAACCCTTGAGTTACCAGATCTGCCTGAACATGTCAGACACCGATTTCAGCACTTGTTCTTTCCCTTTTAGAGAACAAATGTTCACATAAAGGGGACATGAAGCTATAGAAACTGGTTTGGGCAGGGAGCTTTGCATGTCACAGAGAGTTCACTTTAACAACAGTTAGTCCTTCACCTTGTTTGGCCTCAGCCAGGGTACTAACTTTCAGTCTTTTAGCACTGCATCAACAATAGATTTTTTACATTTCTCAGAAGTTCTCTGGAGTTTGACAGGAAAGAGATCCAGCTCATGAGCTGCCTTTTCACTTGCACCAAGACAAGCTTGGATGGACTCCATCTGTTCTCCCCAAGTGATTCAACATTATGGTACACCACTTTCACTGTTCTCATCTGTGAGTGACTACGGTTCACGGTGTTCTCATCCCCACCTGACACTGCCCTTCCCTCTGGAGCTCTGGCTGTGCCTTTAGCACATCACTCATGGGCTGCTCCTGGAAGAAATTTCACAGCACCTACTGAGGGAGGACCCATTCTCCCACCCCACTTACCTCCAGACCCAGATGTCTCATCTATATCTAACTCATCAGAAGTTAAGTGAGGCCTGAATTCACCAATGTCTTCATCATCTGGCAAGTCTCCGGAGGCAGGATACTCAAGCCATCGGGCATCTATGGTCTCTGTTTCTCTCACCTGTAAGTGAGGGCAGAGAAGTATTAACTACCAGACAACTCCTCAGAAGCATTTCACAAAAGGCCAGGAGTTCCGGAGCCTGTGCTAAGCACATCGCTTCCATCAGAAGAACTCTAAATGCTGAACCACCTCCCCACCAAAAGCATTATCTGCATCAGCCTGAAAATAGCTGAATTCCCCTGGAATTTCTCAGCAGTGAGAGCCAGCAGGGGAGGGGAATTTCCTACAAGTTCAGAGGGCAAAAATAACACAGCAGGATCTTGGTCAGGAGTTCGTAGCAAAAGCATTTGGAAAAGGAATACCTTCAGCTTGCGGTAAGGGGGGGATTTGGAAGGACTTGCTATTCCCAGATAAAAAGCTTGGCACCTACAGGTCAGGTTTTTGTACAGGATTGAAGGCTCACACCAAGGCAGTTCCTTGCTCCTTGTGTTGAGAACAAACCTACTTTATCACCCAAGGGTTAAAAACTGGTCTTTCAGTTCAGCTGAACTGCAGTGCAATATAATGGGATGGTTCAAGAGCACTTGCTGTCAATAAGGACTTGCCTGAAGGAAGAGCTTCCTCTGCCTCACCTCTTAAAACACACGTAAACAAGCAAGTCTGTAAAATGAAGTCCATGATCCTATGGGCAGATGACTGCACGTTAGCAGGAGAGCCTCCCAGAGAATCAGCCATTTGGCCACAACAGCAATTTGCACACCAGAACTCATGTGCACTTGGAGCTTCAAGGAGCCACAAGCCCTCACCAAGCTTATGCTATTTCCCCAGCACTATTTCTCCTCACCCCACAGCCCTGGGGCCAGCCCCAGTGAGGGGACCACAGGTATGAATGAGATCTCAGGTTGCTCAACACCAGCCCACAGATTCCAGTAGCTCCAGATGCTTCCACAGCCATGAAGTCATCCCCATGCTGGGGGACTTGACCCCTTCCCCTAGGGCAAAAAGCATAACTGGTGGGATGGGTCCCATAGCTATGGGCTAAACTGTCTGTGTTTTTTTCATGCTGCTCCCACAGAAAGATTGAGAAGTCCTTCAGAGGGACTGTCTTCCCAAGAGAGCATTGTTAAAGCATCCCTTTACTCCACACTCCTGCACATCCAATGGCTCTTCTTAATGAACAGGCTTACCATGAGCCTCACAGGGTGAAGATCAGAGACTCATGGGGACAGTTAGAGGTGGGTGGCACCAGCCAAGCCCCAGCAAAGCAGCAGTGGGCCCTGGAGTGGCTGGGATCTGCCTTCCTGCCCTCCTGGCCAGGGGTGGCCCACCCCACAGCCCAGCAGTGACACTGAGTGATGAATTACATCTGCTATTGATCTCCCAGGCAAAGGCCAACAACAGGCACAAGCCATGTGTAGGCTTCCCCTGCCCACAGACCCAGCCCTGACCTCCTTGCCCAGTAGCTCACTGGTTTTGCCACAAAGAAGGCCTTGTGGTCAGGACAAGATGTTTCTCTTTTTGCATAAGGAGCAGTGGCTACTAGATGTGCTTCTCATCAGCTTATTGAGGCATCTTTGGTTTCCCCAGCAACTCTGCTGGAGGAGAACTGAATGAACAGCCTAGAGGCTGTCTCATCCAAGATCCCTGCCTGACACTGGGTGGTGGGAAGGGAGCTGGGGAAGGCCAGCTGGGAAGACATCCCCTCCCAGCCTGGAACCGGGCATTCCTAACGTTATGGATCACTCGCTCTAAGGCAAATTCATTTCAAGATACGTGAAACCCAGCCAAAACCAGACCTGAAATGAAAATTGCTGCCAGCATCCAGTAGCTATTCCCAGGATAGCTTCTGGCCATTCCATCAAAGGGCAGGAAGAGCCCAATTCCCTTTTAGGGTACCAGGGCTGGGGAGCACATTTGCTGCAAGACCTGAGCCTGGGCAGATCCATGTTGGGAAGAGCACCATGCTGAGCTGCACCCCTGTGCCAGCTCATGCTGTGCTTCATTATGAGTCACCAGACAGTGCCCAAGCAAGGGCTGCTCAAGAAAAGCCAGGTCTAAGCCACGGTGTGGCTGGAGAGCTGCTGCCTTATCAGCTCAGGCCAGCCGTGAGCAGAGAGGTGGCAGCCAGGCATGGGGATTAGTGTATGCTGCAGAACACACCGGGTTTGGCTATCAGAAAACCCTATTAAAATAAGGGGAGACAGTGTTTACAAGCCAGAGGACATGACAAGGAAATGACTGACTCACAAGTGTAAATAAGATTATAAGGGAGCGTTCCCTGAGCTCACTCTTCATCATCCTCTTGTGCAAGGACAAGGAAGTTCCTGGAAGCCATAAGAGCTTCTCAAGCCATATGGGCAACTTTTCCTGTGGGCAGCAAGCCCCATTTTACAGATTAATCTGCCAGGGAAGTTAGAGGGCTGCTGGGCACCTCCAGGTTTCAGGACATGCTTTCCTAGGGAGAAGGCTCCCACTGGGAGCTGGGGCTTAGGGAGCCTGTGAAGAGTTAACAGTGGAGCACTGTGCTCACAGGGCAGGTCTGGGGCAGGCACATTCCTTGCATACACACCTGCAAGAGGGCACACAGGCACTTTCACAAGGGCTTTGGGCTTCCCAAGCCGCCACATGAAGTGGTCCCCAGAGTATGGCTTTAAAAGTGCAGCCCTGTCCAAGAGGATTCAGTCCTCTCTACAGCCCTGCTATGAGGTGAAGCAGCACCACCGAAGGTGCCCATGCTTCCTCCTGGCTGGCAGGCAGCAGCCAAGAGGAAAAAGCCCGAAGACTGCCGCAGGATGACAGTCAACCCTTGCCAAGTCATCTCTGGCCACACTCTGCTTAACACCTCTTGTAACTGCCAGCTGGAGAAGGGCACCGGCTGCTCCGAGTCTGCTTCCCATCTCCTGTCATCCCAGCGCTGGAGCGGGGCCAGGGACTTGCTGGGAGAGCCGGACTGGGCACTGCACGGCTCCACCTCACCCTGGCAGCAGAAGTTGAGCCCTATGATCAATATGCTCCCATCCAGGAGGGGTCTGTACAAAACCAACCTTCCCCTGCAGGAGTCTAGATCCAGGACTTCCCCCCCCCATGTTAAGCAGCTTTATCCCCGGTAAGCACCAACGGGAGATTAACCAACATGCTGGGGAGCTTTTCCTGCCTGCCAGCGGCAAAATGAATCCGTTTATTCCCTGCCAGCCACCCAGCAGGTCAGGCACATGAACCATGAGCGTCATTCCTGGAAAAGCTGGACACAGAGGTCCCATGTTTGAGCCCGGACAAGGCTGCACTGCTGGATGAGGCCATACACTGTTTGCTCAGCTCAGGCACAGGAACTGCACCCCTGGCACCCCAGGCCCTGCTGCGCTCCATCCATAGCCCACCCCATTTGGTGCTCCTGGGGTCTCCGCTTACAGCCCCAGCAACAGCCTCTTCTTAAAGCAAGCACAAGCTTTTATGGAGGCAGCAAAGCAAAGTTTCTGTTCAATGTGTGCATTTCCCCAGCCGCTGGCTAGTTCTGGGAAATGCCAAACCCAGGCAACTCGCCTGCCCCAGCCCACACGTCCTCACCACAGCCTTTGCAAACCCTTTCAAAACAACCCAAATGATGCTCTGGGGCAGAGACAAAGTCCTCCAGACAGGGAACTGGCTTTTACAGCTGGCCCTTGTCTCTGATAAAACACACCAGGGCTCATTAAGCTTGTCTGAAGGGTCACAGGCAGCACACTGCAAAGGGTGTCAGACCCACAGAGGCTCGGGCATCCAGAGCAAGGAGATCTTTATTAAGTTTATAACTTCAGTGTTATAAACTTCAGAGCCCCAGCGCTTGCTCCTGCATCTGTCTCCCTCCCCAGCACTGTGTACACAAGTCCTGGAGTAAACAGGAGCAAGGTGAAAGTCAATCTTTCCTAGACAAAAGCACACGGAGCTGGGCCAGCCTGGGAGGTGGCAGAAGAGGGGGCAGAGGCACAGATCTGTTAACTCGTTGTAGCCTGCAGGAACACGTAAATCTAGGCTGCTCCTGGGGCTTTTCTCAGGTGCTGTATAGTAGGGAACAGTGGCACAGATCACCCCAGTGAGCAGCATTACACCAAATACCGCTCCCAGGCCTCTGCTCTCACAGACAGAGGTCACCTCGCACCGCCACAATGCACACCTACAAATTAGACAAGAGAGGGCTCCTGTATGACAGGGGCAGCTGCCCACATGGCCCAGCCTGGTTATTAAGGGCTCATTCTCACAAAGCCACAACCCTGGCCCTCGTGCTGCCCGGCGTCACGAACCAAAGAGCACCGAATCCAGTGGGACCTTTTCAGTGCAAGGATGTGAGAACTGTGTAAACCACGACGTCCAAGAGAGGGGATTTCCATATGGTTCACTTCCCCCCAGCTCCTGCAGGAGCAGACAAACCAGGAAGCTGGGAGTGAGCTCAACCCCTTGAAGCACTTCCCAAAAGCAAGGAAGCAGAATAGGAATACAGTGCTGGAAACAGGCCAGCACAGATCAGTGCTGACCTCCAAAGGAGGGAGGTGTGCAGCGAGGTAAAGGCAGACAGCTCTGACCCCTCCTACAATCCTAGAATAGTTACGGGTGGAAAGGACCTTAAGATCATCCAGTTCCAACCCCTCTGCCATGGGTAGGGACACCTCACACTCGACCATGTCACCCAAGGCTCTGTCCAGCCTGGCCTTGAACACCGCCAGGGATGGAGCATTTACCACTTCTTTGAGTACCCTGCGCCAGCACCTCACCACCCTCACAGTAAAGAACTTCTTCCTTATATCTAACCTGAACTTTCTTGTTTAAGCTTGAAGCCATTGCCCCTTATCCTGTCACTAGAGTCCCTGATGAAGAGTCCCTCTCCAGCATCCTTGTAGGCCCCCTTCAGATCTTGGTAAGCATTAAATATTATTAGAAGCGACATGAGCTTCCAGCACAGGCAGCTCCTGCCAGCCTAGTAAGGGAAGGGTCTGTATTTTCACCCCAAAACACTCTTTATTCCCTTCCTCCATGCTCCAGTTCAGTATAGGGAAATAATAATAATAATAATAATACAATAATAACGC